ATCTACTCAAATTAGTCAATTAGCTTTTATATTGAGGATTTAAAAATGTAATATTAAATAATAAAATTTATAGAAGGGATACTATTAGCGAATTATGAAGTGCATGAATCATTGTTCAATCTTTTATACTTCACAAAAAAAACATGTTCTGTATGTGTATCTATATAATATATAACAAATCACATTATTTATAAATAATAAATAATATGACTTATTTTCCAATATCTCTAAATATGCCTATACAAATTTCATCCATACATTTAGTTTTTTTCCCCCTGAATGACAAGCTATGAGGAAACCATTAAAGAAGACAAAAGTTACTTACTTAAATTAATTAACCTGCTGCAACATAAAAGAATATCAACAAATAAAAGAGGATTAATATCATTTTAGTCTTTAAAATTGGATATTATTGTGGTTTTGGTTCCTGAAATTTAAAACTAATGATTTTGATTCTTAAAATTAGATTTCACTTTAAATTTGGTCTTTAAGATTTAAAAGAAGTAGCCTTGGTTTCTGAAATTTAACCTCATTTTGATTTTGGTCCTTATTTTAAAAATTAAAGACACTATTTTAAGGACAAAAGATCTTAAGGCGGATCAAAATAAAATCAAAATTTAGGAATCAAAAGTAAAAATTTCAAATTTTAAGAATCAAAATTAAAATAAGGTCAATATTCAGACTAAAAATGGTATTAACCTATAAAATTAAAGAAAATAAAAAATATGAGCTGATTTATATAGTATATAGTAAGCCAATTAGTGTGCCTGAGAGAGAGAGAGTGTGTGTGTGTGTTGATCTCATGGTAATAAACTAATAAAAAGTTATGTTTCAATTCTAGTAACAATTTTTTGGCCAAAAAAAAATTCTAGTAACAATTTTAATTTGGCAAAAAAAAAATCTAGTAATAATGATTCCTGGCATCCTCAGGAAGTTTGTACTGTAATACACCAATATTATCTTTGATAATCTTATTTGCTGCCCCTCCACTAAGTAACGTCAAATAATTGAGCTTAAATTACTTATTTTTACATTAGCGTTGATAATATAGATGAATGTGATGGGAAAATATATATAGGAAAATATTCAATCAAAGAAAACTTCTTTTTAATTGATTAGCTGCTGTTAGCCTGTTAGTCAAATTTAACCACTTTTTTTTAAAAAGATATAATGGTTAAAGTCGTTATAATGATAATCACGAATATTTGATTCATTTAACGTAAAAATGTTTTTTCAGAACTCATTGGGTTAACTTTGAATATAGGATTTTCAAATGAATAATTTGTCACTCAAATTATTATTGCTCACTCATCTATTTAGATATATTTAAAATGATTATGATTAAATTTAGTATTTTTGTGATTATGCAATTATATATCATGAAACGACACAAAATTATCATATACCACTAGTTATCTTCCTGAAAAATTGGTCAAAAGTCTACGATTAGAAAAATAATTATGCAAAAATGCCTAAATAACAAGATGCTTGAGTATGTGCAGTTAAAAATGAGTTGCACATAACTAATAAAAAAGAGTTGCATCATAAAAGATAACTTCCACATAAGCCTTTAAAAAAATTTGGGATAATTAATATATAAGTCCTTATAGTTTCAACTGGTTTTTAATCAGGTCCCTATAATTTTTTTTCTTTTTATCAGGTCCTTATACTTTCATATATTTTTAATCAAATCCTTATAATTTTTTTTCTTTTTATCAGGTCCTTATTATTTTACTTTGTTTTTAATTAGGTCCTTGTAGTTTTTATTCTTTATTTTACAAATAATAACATTTTAAAAATAATAAATTATTGTAACAATCTTATGTTAATATTCTTTTAAATTTTTAGTTAAACAAATATATTATTTATTTTCAATTCAAATTTTTATAATTATAAAATTCAAATTATAATAATAAATTTTTCTAAAATTAAAATATGATTATAAATAATTTATATTTAAGTATAATTATTATTCTGATTATTAATTAATTACTAAATGATTATATTAATTATTTTGTCCAATTATATAATTATTAATTTAAAATGAAATTAATTTTAAAGAATAAAGTTAATAAATAATTTTTCAAAAATTACAAAGCACCTAATTAAAAAATAAGTGAAACTATAAGGACCTGATAAAAAGAAAAAAAAATAGAAGGACCTAATTAAAAACACACGAAAGTAAAAGGATCTGATAAAAAGAAAAAATTTTATAAGGACCCAATTAAAAATTAGATAAAACTATAAGGACTTGGAGATTAATTATCCCAAAAAATTTCAAGTACCTTTGCCCAACTAAGTTTCTGGTCAAGGATTTTTGACTAATTTTTTTCCCCACTTCTCTTTTTTTAAATATATAAAATCACTTTTTATTATTATAATAAAGAAATTTTATTGGACCATATATCATCTTGTTCACTATTTAATCTTTTTTCAAACCAAAGACATGAATTTAAAAGAAAATCAATTTTCAATGCTTCTATGGTTCTTAATGTAAGAATTACTTAATTAATTGAACTAAATTAAGAAAATTAAATAAATTACTTAATTCTAATACATGTGATATGATGGTCATAAAATAACTTTATATGACATTAAATTATTATATGTCAGCTTCTAAGTTAGATATAACATTAGTTTAAAAAAATAATAAATATAAAAGATAAAATGAATTAAGATCTTATGTGAAATAAGAAGATCTTGTATGTCAGCTTATAAGCATATAATATGTTACAAAAATAGTATCATCATTTTTTATAAAAAGAATCATGTATATCATCTTTTATGAAATAAGAAGATTATGTTATATTGAATTGACACATATAATTTAAAAAAGAAATATAGGTGCAAATTACCCTGACTCAAGTTGGGGGAAAAAAAAAATTAACATGATTCAAACTAGAATATATAAAGAAAATCACTTAAGAATATGGTGACGCAAATAAGCAGCAAAATTTGACATAAAGTGATGACAGTGAATTAATAGCGATGGCAATTTAATAATTTATGCACCTCAAGCTTGACTTTGTCTCTAGTTTTGGAACTGTTTTTTTTCTAATCACAACTAAAATTAGTTGTTTCCTAAAATTGCAGTCTTCTTCTTCCCAATTCATGTAAAAGAAAAATACAAATTTAAACCGCATGTTTTCAAATTCAAGTTAATTAACCAAAAATTCTTCTCGTGGATGATCAATATAAAAAAAAATATAAATTATAGTATTTACAAATTATTAATTGTGCAATTTATTTCTAACTTTCATGCAATAATGCGTAAAACATACAAACCTGCTTATGGTTATTTATTAATCACTATGGTTCCTTTTTCTTTTTAATTATCTGGCTCACTTTTTTTTCGTCATTTTTAAACAAATAAAAGTTTAACTCTCTCTCTCTGTTTTTTTTTTTTTAAAGTTTGGCCTATATCAGAAGCAAGGCTATTCTGTGATTCACTTGAGAATCTTGCTAGATCCAGAAACTTAGAACCAACATAAAGAATTGTAAAAAAAAAAAAAACGCTGATAATAGTAGGAAGAAGAATAATTTGATGAACTCCTCAAAAGAGTATATCTAACACATGCCAAGTAAAAGATTTCATGAAATCAAAATTGAGACTTCCTGAGAATTATTCTATGAACCGGGCAAGCTTTCTGTTTTAGAGAACCTGGTATCTAACTCTTTTTTATTTGAAGTTTTTGAATCATAGATTCCAATCTAAATTATGCAGATAATAGGGTAGAGGCAATTGATGAAAACTACAACAAATATATATATATGGTAAACACATTAATTGAATTTATATATTACATTAAGTGTTGGAGTTTAATGATTCATTTTTATTTATAATATTTGCTAATACTACCTCTGGTCCTTAATATAAGACCCTGCTTGACTTTTTGTTTGGTCCTAATTATAAGACCACAATCCATTTTTTCTCTCATATTTATACATTTTTTTCCAAGATAGTCCTTCTAATAATGATAGTTCTAGCTAATACATTTAATTAGCAAGGATATTTTAGGAATGACAACACTTATTTATTACAAATAACTAACTTAACTTACTTCCTTAATCTCGTCAAATAAGTCAACTAGGTCTTATAATTAGGATCGGAGGTAGTACAATATAACAATTTTAATAAATTATAACATTTTTGAGTTATAAATAATAATACAATTCACTGTTTTTTTTTTTTTTGCCATCAATCCATTATATTGGTTTTTTACTCTCTGCATGGCAAGAAAACACAGATTGCCATAAACATGCAACATAATAAATGATATGATTCTCTGTTTGGTCTTCTTTTGGAAATAAAAGGTAAGATTGCGTGTGGAGCCTATAAACACTTTTCTCAGTTTTTATATCATAAACTATAAAACTATTACGTAGTTAAAAAGGAAAAAGAAGAAGATAGAATAGAAATGTCTAATGCCCCACTGACCCTTTCCCCCTGATTTTTCTTTTTAAAAATTTTCATTTTAAAGTTTTACAATGGTTTTAAATTTCACACCTATATATCTGCAAAATATATTACGTTTAATACATAAATAATTTCTGTCCTAGATATATATAAGATTCACTTTATAGTATAATTTACACTTATATTTAGGACCAGGGGAGTATCTACTAAAGAAATATTATATATATACTGAGAAATTATGAGTGAATTTGAAAAGAATTTGAGAAATTTAATTTATATATTAGATAAAGCTAGATTATAAGAAAATTTAAAGATAGAAAAATGTATAAACTCAATCTCTTAAAATTTTGGATTAAGATAATCTGGAGTGTTAACTTACATACATACATCTTCAGTGAAAATTATACATGTCCGACAATATCAGAGCTTAGCCATAACAAAAACTAATTTAAACACTATGAAAACTTGATCAGTAGCACTAAACCAATTTAATTACAAGATTAATTTAAAAGTCCATTGACAGGACAAAAAGCCAAGATTAAAGCAGCAAAATCCCAGAAAACTAATAATAATACTAACAATAATAATAAAACTAAAATATTAATAATAAAAATTATTTTAATACTCAATCCGTAGAATACACGCAGGGAGGTTGGTGAGGGAGCTCTCAAGATTTTGTGGGTTCGTTATTGTGCGAAGGAGAATGCAGAGGAAACAGCGGCAACAGCTCCGGCTGAGAAGCTCGTGGCGTACTCAACGGACTTGGGTGTAAGAAGAACCCTTTCTCGGCGATGGCTCGTTCTTCCAACATCTCTAACGGCGACACCGGCGACGCTATCACCGTCGCCGATCCTCTGGTTCGAGCATACCAGGAGGGAGACAAGGAAGAATACGGCGAAGACGACGGAGAAGGGCCTGGGCTGGTGACGGTGAAGACGGGCCGTTGGGAGACTCCGATGCTGAGGTCCATCTTCCTGGCAGAGTGGCGGCGCTCATGGAGCTTGAAGGCGGGCTTCTTGGGCCCAACATCGGTTGTGGCACCGAGGCGGGAAGGCAGAGTGATGGGGAGCCTGGGAGAGGAGGGGTCGTCGGAAGCTCCGGTGAGCTTTTGGACGACGGCCCGGAAGCTGGAGGCGTCGGCTTGCACGAAGGTGGTGTTGGCGGTATTGGGGTCGGATCCGTAGATGGGCGGGTGGTGGAACACGGTGGAGGTGCTGGTGGTAGTGGGGTGGGAAGAAGCCATGAAAGAGGGGGGGGGGGGGAGAGAGAGAGAGAGATTGGGTGAGAGATGAAGAGGAAGCGGGAAGAGGCGAATGAAAGTGTGAGGCTATATATGGGGCTTTAGAGAGAGAAGGGTAAAAATGTGGATGTAGTTTGAGAATTTGGGTTGGGTTTGCTTGAGGAGTGGTGTGTGGTGCAAGTGACTGTCAGAAGAGAAAAAGTACTGGAAGTTAAGTTAAGGACGCTTCACTTTGCCATCCCTTATTTGTCTCCTTCCTTGCTCTACACACGTTTTTCTTTTGGTTGGGCTGCAAATTCCCTTTCAATTTTCACTTAACAAGTGTTAGGTAGTTCGAGATGTATTATAAGCAGTTTTTTAATAATAATTTATAAAATATGAAATAAATATATAAGTAAAATTTTATCTTGATTTATCTGAAACATATTTATAAGTGATTATATATTATAAGTGATGCCAAAAAAGTACTTAAAACATTCGAAATTTTTTTTAGTATAAATTTATCTCAAAAATTTAAAATTATAGCAGTGTTACCTCCTATTGTTAAAAATATTAATAATTAATATCATTATTTTAATGGTTAGCATTAGCTTTTTAATGGTATAAGACAATATTATTATTATAATTTTAAACTTTCGAACCAAATTTATATCCACAAAAACTTCTGGATGTCTAGTATTTTTAAATAAAAACTTTTAAAGCAAATTTGCATCTAAATCCTCACAAAAATACATCATTGTGTCATGCTTTATAAGCATGGAGTTAAACATAATCGGCTCGGTCCGCACATCAATGAACTATGGTAAATATATACAAGCGATTAGTTCTTTTGAGAGTTTCGAATGGATTAATCAGTTAAAACTTTATATTTTTCCTCTTTTAACTATGTTTGAAATGATATGTTTTGAGTTTAAAAAATAGCAGTTCATTATACTTATGCTTTAATAACTTCAGTTCATGGTAGATTATATATAATTTACAGGGTTAATATTTTTTATTTATACAGTATTCTTTTTGAGATTATATATAAATGTTTTTTATATTTTAATTAGTTTTTTGGACAAAAGTATTTTAATCATTATTGAGTTTACCATTGTCTTGATGAATTTAATGATCAATCCAGTTTTTAATACCTTTTAGATTTTTGAATATATAAAAATTATTGGATAAAAATGCACCTAGCATTCTGAAGCTATATCCAGTACGTTAAAATAATTTTGCTCCTAACGTATGTTATTACTGCTACCAACTACACCTTAACTAATTAGAATACTACAAATCAAGCAAATAATGATGTAACATTTTAAAATTATATACTAATTTTATTTTTAATATAAGAGTTAGTTGATTAATTTGACTAGATTAAGAAAGTTTGTCAAGTTAGTTATATGTAATAAATAAGTGTTGTCTTCCTTAAAATACCATCACTAATATGTGTATTAATTAGTTAAAACTATCATTTTATGGAATCATTAATATGTGCAACCACTACAAGGACTACTTTGAAGAAATTAATAAATATGAAAGACAAAGTAGATTAAGATCTTATATTTAGGACTAAGTTAAATGTCAATAGCTCCTATGTTAAGGACCGAAACTAGCATATAATACTACCTTCAGTCCTAATTATAAGAGCCAGTTAACTAATTTGAGAAAATTAAGGAAAGGAGTTAAGTTAGTTATTTGTCATAAATAGGTGTTGTCTTTCTTAAAATATCCTTGCTAATTAAGTGTATTGGCCATAACTACCATTATTAAAAAGACTATCTTGGAAAAAAAATACACAAATATTAGAGACAAAATAAATTGGGGTCTTATATTTAGAACTAAAATAAAAATCAAACGAGGTCCTATATTAAGAAGCAGAGGTAGTAACTTCTCTTTGTACCCGATTCCATTATCTTGCTACCCGGCCTCAAATCCTTTACTTGAAGTTCGTTTTATTGGTATTAGCTAACTAATGCTGGAGATATCTATTAAACAAGTAAGTAATTTTTATCGTCAACTTGCTGAAAATGATATTTAGTATTTACCCACATATATATTCAAGAGTTGATAAAAATAATCCTGAAATAAGTATATATGATAATTAATGTTTATGAGGGGAATGTTTGGGGAAAAAAACAATTAGTGTGTGTAAATACATTAATTATTTACACTAATTAAATTATTACATCATGAAATTGCTAGTGACGTGGCCATGTTTTTTTTTAATATATACTATTAATTCCATGTTATCAAAACCTGAAAGGTTATTTGCAAGTTTCAAAGCAGTGAAAAAGGAAGAGAAATAAAGTGCAAAACTTTAGGATATGAGTGGAACTGAGTATCTTTTTTAAATACGAGCAAGTAAAGATTCGTTATCATTAAGGTTGACCTTTTTAATCTGAGTCATTTTGAAGTTTAATTGCATATTCATATGCAAGCAACCTTGTTATACAAAACTAACTTTGTTCCAAACTGCATATATATATGTATGTATATGTAAATATATATATTTGTGTGTGTGTGTGTAACAGTCACAGAGGCATGGTAAGAAGCAGATGGAGGTAATAAGAACTTCAAAGTGGCCCCATATTAATTCATAACAGTATGAGGTAAAAATGGAATGATAAGATTAAATAAATAAACAAAGACTTTTACTTTGTCACTTTAAGTAATGAAGGGGTTGGAGAAGCATGGACCTAAGTTCTCCTTTTTCCCCCTCTTCCTTCACCTGATGGGTGGAATTTACCTACCCATTACGCTTTACCCAGGTTAAACATTATATATATATATATATATATATATATATATGCACCCATTACACTTGCCCAAGGTTAAACATTATATATATATAATATGTACGACACTTAACAATGTGTTAACGGTTAAGCGTCATAAACTAAGTGCATGTAAGTAACATATTAAAAACTTAAAAATCATTAAAAAAAACTGAAAAATTGTGAATATAAAGAAAAATATATATAATATTTCTAAAAAAAATCTAATGTATAATCTAACTTTAATTTATCGTTAACTCTTTCATTTTTACTAACAAAAAAGTTAGGAATATAAAAATATTCGATGTTGTTAAAAAATTTTGCCCATAGTTTTTTCCAGCTAGTTCAATCCCATTCTACATTTAGTAAACGGATTAGTCAAAGATTGAATCTAGTCAGGTCCTCGTTGGGAGGAAGATCATGTATTTAAGGTAATTGTGTCTGTGTGTGTTTCTTTTGATCCCAGTTAAAAAAAAGAAAAAAAGAAAGCAAAGTGTTGGTGTCACTTACATTATAAAATTTCTATAATCTAATAAAACGAAATTATTAAAATACAAGTATGACTAATTACTATATTTTATTTTCAACTCAAAATGAGTTCATTAAGTTAGGGGAGGGGAATGTAAAATTCACCAAGTCATTAACCAGTGAAAAACTCTTAACTAAATCAATCACTAAACTAGTTCATTGGTTCACCAATAATAGCGGGAAAAAATGGATTTTCATAACCAAGCACTTAGCCTTACGCAAGAAGGTCGAGTTACACTCAGCTTTCCACCATAGCTAAGTGACCTCTATCTAAGTTTAAGTGAAAAAATATATATGGTGAAAAATAAAGATCTTGGTTGAAATAATGATAACAAGCTTTAAAATTAACCTCTCAATGGTAATTTATAAAATATGAGAGTAATTTTATGTCATGTAACATATTTAAAAGATTAAAAAGAAAATGGTGGCCCATATATTAAAATTTCAAAGAGGGTAAGGTGGCAGACAAGGAATGATGACAGGGTTTGCAGAGTCAGAGAAGCATTGAAGAAAAGAGAGAGAGTTTGGCCAGAGTGTCTCAGAGAATCTTTATGTGTCTTGTAATTCTTTCTTGTTCTTGTTGTTGTTCTTCTTATGGGTCCAATTCTTTTCGAATTTTCCAACTGTTTTCTCTCACTTTCTGAGCAATTTTCCTTCTTGTCTTGATAGATTGCGTGAGAAACTGGGGCTTTGACAATTGATGACACAGAAAAAGAAAAAGAGTGTTTTTGTGAGAGTTGGTTCCTTCCGGTTTGGTTGCTTCTTCGTACGTTGTTTCGTTTTGGATTTGGTTACTACTGAACGAGCTGCCACTTTTTTGACATTTTCAGTTCCTTCCTCTTCCACGAGTCTTCCCTCTCTCTTTCCTCCTCTTTCTCAAACTAGCCTCCCTTTCACATCATCATCAACCCCATAAGCGTTATTATTCCCATCAATATTTCATCTTTTGTTTAATTTAAAAAATACATTATTCCCTGCATTATAGAATATGAAGAGGCATAAATATTAATAAACAGTTTATTGTCTAAAAATGTGTATATATTTCCTATTTTATCTCTAATACAGATATGTGGTTGAGCCTATTATTATTGCTGTTCAGCAGAATCCTCCTAATTTATTACTTGATGAGTATTTGATAACAAAGAGTAGGGAGCCATCAATAACTTTATAACCTATTGGTATCAAAGGTTTCTTATAGGCGAGAAGTAGGAAGTTAATATCGCTTGTAATTTCAATCTCTTAATTTGTAAGAGAGATTGAGTCGATAGGTCAAGTTCAGTCTTACTTGTAATTTCAAATTCTTAATTTAGAAGAGAGAGCAGATGACTCAGGGTCTATCAGATTATCCATATTCATAATTAACCGTAAAGCTAAAAGAATTTTTATAAGAAAAAATCTTTACAAATTATCAGAGAACAAAAAACCAAACCGAACCGAACTGGCCAGTGGTCCAGTTCGGTTGGGATATTGAACTGTGGGGAGTTGAACCGGTGTAAACCGATAATAAACCGGTTTGGATAATTACGTTGTTATTTGTCCCTTTTTTTTTATTCAACTCTTAATATCTCAACCCCTATAAATTTAAATAAATTTTAATGATAATTTTGGTATCAATAATTATTAATTTTAGTTCATCATGAATCATAAAGATCAAAATTCTCAATATTGTTACGCTTTGTTATTGTTACAATCAAACTATTGTTATATTTTCTT